CCACTGCCTACTTCCCTCCATGTAGATGCAGTTCCATTGAGGACTACACGTTGAGTGCGGTTGGTCAGCCAGTTACGAATCCATCTAGTGGTGATGCTGTAGACAGGAATAGCCAACACTCCAGAAGATAGACTTAAGATACAGAAGGGTCTTGACAAACTTGAACATTGGGCACTCTCTAATAAAATGAAATTCAGTGGTGAAAAGAGTAAGGTTCTACATTTAGGTAGAGAAAGTAAGATAAAAATGTTGAACAAAGAAACAAATATCTCTCTTGCTGAAGTCTGAGGTTTTCTATTTACAGTTCTTGCACACATGTGACCTTTATATTTAGGTCACCATCTCTCTTATCAGTCTGGGTGGATAAAGAAGATATTAATGTTTGAATATAGTGAGGGTAGTTTAATGTCATGCCACTAAACTAAACAATCTGCAGCGTCTGAACTTTCTAATGGAATGTTCATATGTAGTTTAATCATATAAATTACTAATTTTAGTGTATATATATTTTTAAAGACATGGTTATGAGGCTTTGCATTAAATGCATTTTTCAACCTTCACAATCTAAGCGAGTTGCAATTCACTCCTAATATGTAGTCATCATTGCCAAATTCATTTCTAGTTATAAGAGCGTATCTCAAGAATATCTATTTTTGAAATCCTAATGTATTATGGGCTACTACTGAGCTTGTCATCCATTTTTTGTCTTGTAACAGTATTTTCTGTTACAAAAGTCATTATGCATTAAATCAGGCTCCCTAAACCTCAGTCTGCAGCTCACTACCAGTCCATGGTCCATTGGAAATCAGGCCATGCAAGCGAGCACATGAATCTTCATTTGTGTAGGCGGCAGGTGTGTGTGCCCGCAGCTTGCACAAATGGAGCTTTGTGAGCGCATGTGCCTGCTGATCGTACAGAACCAACCGCTCTTCAACTGGTTCCACCTGCCCCTGCTGGTTTGCAGAGCTGGAAAAGTTGGACATTGCTGCATTAAATTCAAATAAGTAAAAAAAATATCAGAAACATATAACAAATCTAAATGAAGTCCTACAAAAATTGTTAGCTATTGATAATATAATTATTGTTACAAAGCATATTAAAGGGTTTTAACCATATATCTATTCATCAGAATATAATTTGCTTACATTGGGCTTGAATGGTGTATGCCTGTATAAATAATAATAAAATAATATAAATAAATGTATAAAATAATTTATTGTATATATTTATTGTGTTGTTTGTTTAGAAGTAAACTTTATAATGCAAATTATGCCTGCTGTAGAATATGCTTTTAAATCAGTGAATATTAGACACAAATATGATAAATTTATCGGATTTATTTATTTCTTTTCTATTTTTTCCTTTGCTACTGTTACACAAACTTTATATAGATTATTGTATTCTGTGCTTCCTCCATCTGTGGCCAATGAACTGAGACACAAGCGTCCTGTACCAGCAAAACGTTATGATAATGTGACTATATTGTTTAGTGGCATTGTTGGTTTCAATGCCTTCTGCAGTAAACATGCCTCTGGAGAAGGAGCTATGAAAATTGTCAATCTTTTAAATGATCTTTATACAAGATTTGATATTTTGACTGATTCACGAAAAAATCCATTTGTTTATAAGGTAAATATGATATGTCATTTCTGTTCTGTGAAGAAGATAACACTGTAATGACCAGCTTATGACGAATAATATAAGATGTATGGCTGAACATATTTCTTTATGTATAACAAACAACGAAAGCTAGAGATGTGGGTTGCAGATTCCAAAACATTTTACAGAAGTCCCAAACTATCTCTTGGCAACTTTCCCTATATGGGCTTACACAATCTGATGCTAGGCACAGTATTTATAATCTGAAGTTAAATTCCAGGTTCAGAGCCGAGGTGGCGCAGTGGTTAGGGTGCAGTACTGAAGGCCACTACAGCTGACTGTTATCTGCAGTTCAGCGGTTCTAATCTCACCGGCTCAAGGTTAACTCAACCTTCCATCCTTCTGAGGTAGGTGAAATGAAGACCCAGACTGTGCGGGCAATATGCTGACTATGTAAACCGCTTAGAGAGGGCTGAAAGCCCTATGAAGCGGTATATAAGTCTAACTGCTATTGCTATTGCTATTGCTATTTATCATGAAATAAAATGAAAGCCCAGTTTTGGTCAACAGATTGTTAGAGCCTTGTATACAGATAAACATTAATAAAACATTCTATTTCATTAAGTTTAACCATGCAAGAGTGATAATTTTGAATATTGTATGTCACTATGGATTGAATATCGTTCAGGAAAATTGTTTTAACTACTGCTATAAAATAATATAGATAATAGGTTTATTTTTCCAGGAAAAGATTGTTGGTGATCTGTGGTCTTGCACTTCTTTTTGTGGCTTATTGAGAGAGATATATTTTGATGTAGTTCCTAATCTCAAACTTATTTTTAAATAAAACTTCTTGTATTGATGATACTGGAATTATGAAAGCCAGTGAGTATATTAAGATGGAAATTATGTTATTTTGGGGCAAAAAAGTGCTACATTGAGACGAGAAGTTAATACAATTTTCCAGAACTTGATCTCCTTTATATGTGTTAAAAATACATCTCCCATAATTATTGATATAAGTGTATGTACTGAAGATTTTAGATTCTTAGGATTTGTGAAAAATGTGGAAGATAGAGTAAATATGTTCCGTGGGTTTTTTTTTGAATCTCTTTTTTAATGAAAATTTTGAAAAACAAACTTTTACAAATATTTTCTTCCCTCCCCCTCCCCCCAACCCCCCCAACCTCCCCCCCCCCGACTTCCCAGAACTAATACAGGGTATAAATCTTTAACAAAAACATTCTAAAATAAACTTAAAAAGAAGTTAATAACATCTTTCATTTGAACTTTAACTCTTCCTTGCTAGGCTTGCTCTAAACAACTTATATCATTCCTAGTTTCTTTAGTCATAAGCTATTTGAAATTTCTTAGTCCCATATTTATTTTGAGTATAGTCAATCCATCTTTTCCACTCCAGTTTATATCTCTCGTTTGAGTGGTCCTTGAGATATGCAGATATTTTAGCCATTTCAGCTAGATTTATTACTTTCAGTGTCCATTCTTGGATAGTAGGCAAATCTTCCTTCTTCCAGTATTGCACCACCAACATTCTAACTGCGGTTATTAAATGCAAAATCAGGTTAATCTCTACAATAATTACAATCAGTAATTATACCCTAACAAAAATAACTGAGGGGTAAACTTTATCCTTTTTTTTCAGTTCACAGTTTCCCATTTCTTAATACGTTCCATGTTTGATAACTGTGAAAATAATCTTTCTAATGAAATGATACTGCTTTAATGCCAGATGATTGATAATCAAAGGTTATTATTTTACTGAGGCAAGCAAAGAAAGGGAATATCATAACTTTCAGATTTATATTTTATTAGGTTGAGACAGTTGGAGACAAATATATGACAGTAAGTGGCTTGCCAGAACCATGCATTCATCATGCACGTTCTATCTGCCACTTAGCATTGGATATGATGGAAATAGCTGGGCAAGTTCAAGTTGATGGAGAATCTATTCAGGTCAGTGATTGACAACATATTATGGTATTTAGGGATTTATTATGGTGCAATTTCAGTCCTGACTTAATATAGAATCAACTTTCAGGTTTATAAAAATAGGCAGGATGATGACCCATATTATGAGAAATCTTTCTGCTACTTTTTTACTTACTAATTCCTTGTTGTATATACCTATAGATAAAAGAGTTCTTAAAACTGAGGGTTCATTAGTATAAAATTATGAACAAGGAAAAAAAACTTATTTATTTAACATAATATATTCTAATTTATCCGGAAAAATAGACCAACTTTTTTTGCAATTCCTTACCAGGCAATTAGTTACATTTCGAAATACATAATTTTATTTTGCCATTCTTAGAGAAAGTGTTGATGTTTTCAGAATTACATTGAATGATTTTCTAGTTCAGTTGTATAAGTGAAAACTTAAAATAGACTGACTATGCTATATTTGTTCTAGGTTTTTAGTGTTGTGTTACATATGTTGGTATATAAATTCAATTAAAATTAAGCATAAAGTTAATATTTAATTTCATATTCATAGTGCATTCCCATTACTATTGATACTGTTGACCAAATATTAAATCAACGATATCATTTTCTTTTCTATTAATTTTTTATAATAGATAACAATAGGCATTCACACTGGAGAAGTGGTCACAGGTGTCATTGGCCAAAGGATGCCACGTTATTGTCTTTTTGGGAACACAGTAAATCTCACAAGTAGAACAGAAACGACAGGTGAAAAAGGAAGGATCAATGTCTCCGAATATACTTACAGGTGAGAAATTAAGTTTACTTGTATCATTGTATCTATTTCCAAACCACAGTGTGCTTTTATGAAATTTACTCTAAGTCATTTGGATTTGTCAGGATACTGATTATGGAAGTGTTTTACAAATTTAGGGGCTCTAATGTGGTGGTCCACCCGTTCATTTTGAACTGTTGGGAAATCTTCCCATGCTACCAGGTTCCCTTTGCTTATGGGAATCTAGAGTTTCCCAGATTTCAAAGTGTTGTTCCCCTTCTATCATTAAAGGTTCCGGGGTTGGTGGAAGCTTAGGTCTAATGAGAGAAATGACCTTAGACTTCAAAAGGTGCAATGAAACATGGGGTGAACCTGTCAAAGAGACTTGGGCAAACGTAATTCTACAGTTTCTGGGTTAATGATGCGTTTGATTGGGAAGGGCCCTACAAACTTGAGTCCCAGCTTCTTTGATGGTTGTAGAGATTGCAGGGTGTGGATGGAAAGGTAAACTCAGTTGTCAATCTTAAACAGTTTGGATTCTTCACACTTCTTGTCAGCTTGCTTCTTATAAGCCTCATGAGCATCTCCCAGTGCCTTCCTCACCACTTATTTCTCAGCTAGGAGACCCACTCTTTCAGTAACGTGACTCGGGTAGGTCATTCAGGAGTAATTCAGGCATAGGGTTGAAGTCCTTCTTTTTTTCTTTTTTTCTTTTTTGTGGAACAGAACCAGGCTGCTGGTCCCTAGGATTAGGCCAGTTGAATAAAACCACAGGCAAGATTTTTGTCAATAAACAGTTGCAGTGTATCTAACTCCCTCAAGGTCATTGAATATAGTTCCGGCTTAGGTAGTTTAGCCCAAGGAAGGATTTCTATAGCACGGTTCATCAGCTAATAAAGGGGGAGTTTGTCCAAGCCCTTTTTGCTGAACACCTCTCTTAGGTCCCATTATTCTTTGTGGATAGCAGGGTGGCCCGTCTATAGTCCCTGCATTACTGCCTGATTTCCCACCATGGAGAAGCTGCCTCCTGGACTCCAACTTGCTCCCAAGGAGGGCGACTCGTTTGGAGTTTTAGCAGCCCTCTTCTCCAGTTTATGTATGGATTTCACTTCTTTAGCTTAGTCAAACTAGAGGCCATTCCATCCCTGAGGCCACTATGAAGCTTAAAGTCTCTACGTGGACCCCTTCTGCATTTCTATGGGTTCAGTGACAAATGTTGCTGGGATGCCCCTTGCTATGGATTTGTCTAGTAGGCAAAATGCAGTGGGTACTTTCAGCTGCCTCAAGGAGATTCCTAATTTTTCAACTAGAGCTGTGTTAACCAGGCACCTGGTGGAGCCTGAGTCTGGCAGGATCTGTAAGGTGGCCTTCAGCCCTGAGGCTTGGAAACTTAGCTCTATGTGGAGTGTCACTAGTGTGATTGGACCACTTACTAGAGGATCATCATTAGTGTCGGTGTCAGTTAGCCCCTGGCCGCCGGGTAGTGGAGTTGGAGTTCCATCTTGCTTCAGTGTGGGTGAATTCAACAACCCCCACTCCCTTCAGTGCCATTTTCCTCATCCGCTTGAGGCATGGGTGGCTTTTCTGGAGGGCCTGGGAGAGGGGAGTCTTGGTTTGGCGGCCAGTCTTGCACTCAGCTGCTCAGTGCCCTCTTGGCCACATTTGAAGCAGAGAGTAGAGCACGGCTGCGGGTTTTGTGGTTTCGCTGCCTCTCTTTTCTATGGGGCTGGTGTCAATTCCTAAAGTTGACATAGTAGAAAAGGGTGGAGCATACTTTCAGGTAGTCGGATCTCACATTACCGCTGCAGACTTGTTGAAAGGGGGCCAGAAACTGTTCGAAGTCTCGACTCACCACAAAAATCTGGAGGCTCTCAGGACCTCGCGGAAACTATCACCCAAACAAGTCCGATGGGCTCAATACTTCAACCATTTAGACTTCATACTAAAGCACATTCCAAAGGGGAGGAACTTTCTAGCTGGCGCCCTCTCCCAAATGCCCCAGTACAAATGTGAACAGGAGCAGGTGGTGGACATCATCATTCCCCCTACTCAAATAGCTGCCCAAGTGACCACCAGATGACAATGCCATGACCAGCAAGACCAACCAGCAAGTGATTTAACCACAAGACTCAAAATCGAACTGCTAGCAGACCCTTGGTTCCGAAACAATCAACACATCTTGACAAAAAGAGATGACCTCGCACGGAAGGTGACGAAACTCTATGTCCCAGAATCCCTACACCTCCTAATTCTCCAGAGGAGCCTACAATGCCAAACTGGCAGGCCACTTTGGGTTCCTAAAAACTTCACACTTAACCCAGAGGCAGTTCTGGTGGCCTGGCATAAAGAAAGACATGGACAGTTACGTGAAAAGTTGCACCATCTGTGCCACAATGAAGAGATGACCGGGAACCCCATCTCCCTGGACTGCTGCAACCAGTAGCAGAGCCAACAAGGCTGTGGGAGGAGATTGCAATGGACTTTATAGTAGAGTTGCCGAAAAGTGGGGGGAAACATGGTGATGTGGACAGTAATAGACCTGTTCTCCAAACAGGCACATTTCATACCCTGCAGTGGACTACTCTTGGCTCACAAGCTGGCCAAACTGTTCCTGAAGCACATCAACTGCCTGCATGGAGTACCTCAAAGAATTATCTCAGAAGGAGGGGTCCAGTTCACGGCTATGTTCTGGAGGGAATTCCTGTGGTCTATTGGGTCATACCAGGGCCTTAGATCTGCTTTTCACCCAAACACCAATGGAGGGAGCAGAGAGACTGAACACCATGGTAGAGCACTACCTGACTTGCTACGTGAACTATTAGCAGTCCAATTGGGCAGACCTTCTGTCTTTTGCTGAAATCACGTACAAACCTCAAGGACTGCTTCAAAATGTCACCCGACCTGCTGCCCCGAGGAAGGAGATATCGATGGATTTTATTGTCGAGTTACCAGAAAGCCAGGAAAATACTGTGATCTGGGTGATCACCGATTTGTTCTCCAAGCAAGTGCATTTCATTGCTTTCAATTCATATCTAGTAAAAGTACTTTATCTCTATTCAAATGGAGTTGAGGTTTTTCTTTCTTGGATATTGAAGGAGGCATGCCTGACAGGTGGAGTCTTTCCGCACTTGGCTCTCACCTGGCCAGTTCCCACCAGGGCAGCAGCCCTGGCAGATCTGCTAGGTGTCCCACCTGCGACAGTCGAGGCAGCGGCTGAAGCACTGAAACTTCCACTGTGGTGTCTAGTGCTGAAACTCGTTGTCTTAGATTTTCCAGGCCTCACTGGTAGCAGCCTTGGCATCTGCCTCAATGTGCTTTCATGGTTTGGAGGGCACTCATCATGAACTGCATGCCTTGCCTCACAAACCCTGAAGGCACGCAAGAGACATGCCAAAGCTGCTACCAGCGAGGCCCAGAAACCCAAGAGGAGGAAGATGGAGGACAAGCATCAGCTAAGGAGTTTTCCCCCCTAGGAGATACTACAACATAAAATTGAAGTGGTTTACATTAGGTGGAATGTGAAAAGTAGCAATTCTTTTATTTTGCCAAGTCCAACCTCCTCCTGACCAATCCACTGGCAACCAATGTGATGCCACAAGGCTGTTATGGGAACTCCAAAGTACTGGGTAGATATAAAATGCCCGGAAGCCTCCTCCTCTTCCCTTTTCAACCGAATGACAGGGCATGATGGTGGACCTGTCATGGACATTCAGAATGCCTGCTGCAATGTTTATTATCTTTAAAGGGCCTTTGAATGGTCTGCAATCAACAGAGGAAAGAACAAAGTAGTTAAAATCTCAAGCCATCATCAACGTTATTGGTGGCTACTGTTTTTTTTCAAAAGCTCTTTGCTGATAGCTTGTTTTGATTTGATTGATTTTTGGGGAAATTTTTGACCTGGATGTCATTCATTCATCTTTGGACTCTAGACATTCTGCTGTGCCTTTTTGCTTGCAGAAACTGCTAAAAATGCAAGAAGATGCTGTACTAGTCAGCCTGCTAGTATGTTTAGGTGTATGTATTCATTTTGATCATGCATTTATGTCCTTCGATTCAGTCCATGCTATATTTTGCTGCAAAACGTGTTGATTATTTTGAACTAGTTGATTTGGTACATTTGATGCAGTTATTAAAAAAAACCAGTTGAGGTTTTCAAGGTTATGGGTGTGACTTTTAATTATGCTTTTGCTGTTTGTGCTTCTGAGCATGTGAATGTGATTTAATACTTTATAACAAGAGTGGTCATGCTCTGGAGGAAATAATTGACTGTTCCTTTGGACGTCAGAAACAGAGCCAAATCTACATTCCCTCACATTCTTTTCAGTTAGAAATCCAATAGCCGCCAGATAAATGGTTGCTCCAAAGATGGCTGAAGATACCAGCTCCAAGCTGTACAGATAAATCCAGATGACAGCCAACAATAAAAGTTTTCTGCAACTCTCTGCTCCCTTCTGGTGGTCATGCAAATTTTGGCAGCCCAATCACTGTTTCTCGTGGATGAAACATCCAGCACTGTTCCAGATTTGTTTATATTGAATCACAGCCAGCCTGAACAGTGTCAACAAATGTCCCAAAATTCAATATTCTACTTCATATTTCATTCACGCTCTTATTTAATTATAATCTGTTTAATTTCAGATGTCTGAGAACTCCAGAAAACTCAGATCCACAGTTCCATCTAGAACACAGAGGCCCTGTTTCCATGAAGGGTAAAAAAGAACCAATGCAAGTTTGGTTTTTGTCCAGGAAGGGGACAGAGGTATGACTAACCAAAACATTTTATCAAAATAAAAACAAAGCAGAAGTGATGCGAGGACTAAATATGGTATGAGTAATCAAAACATGTTCATCAAAATAAAAACAAACTAAAAAAATGATGCAAGGACTACGTATGACTACATCAGGCTTTCTAGTTGCAAAACTGAATGTCCCTTTGAAGAAATGAGCCATTTCAAAATATTGCTATGTTAATATATTTGCTCTCTTGACAGCCAATTACTATCTATTATATATTACCAGACTTTATGTGTTTGTATTTCAGGAAATGTTTGAGAAAGTGCCAACTGATTAACCATTAATTTTAATCTTTTCCCCTCCTGCACTAGAATTTGTATTTATTTAATGGCTAGTCCTAGTGATATCAGAATTTGCTGTTTTGCACATTGTAGTCCAAAGCTCTTTTTATACTGCTTAAACTTTATATTTGTTTTCAAAAATGATTACATTTTATCATACTTTGCACATAGATTGAGGCCCAATATTTGGCACAGCCATAGAGCAGAAAGCAGTTAAATCTACATTATTTTCAAGGAGTAAAATGTGTGTGAAATAAAGCTCTAATCGAATGTATACATAGTCTAAAATGTTGCTTGTCTGGATTTTTTTTTATTAAGAGCATTTAAAGTTCTGCCTATAGGAATAGTATTTATCTTAATATGTATTTAGTAAATTAAGGATATAGCAGATTCACTTACACAGCTCAGCTAAAACAACTGCTGTTAAATCTTTTGATTAGAAAATTTCAAGTGTTTTGTATTCTGATGGATCAAAATCTGAAATTGTAGATGGATGGATTCTTTCTAATGCAGTATGTAGGATATACTCTATACATGTTTCATATTTTATAATATATTTATATTTTAAAAATCTCACACATGTGCTTATAATACGATCTAACATCTCTCTCTTTCTCTCTCCATATATCTCTGTCTCTCTTTGAGATCTCTTTACTGCCAAGCAGGCAACAGTTAATTTATGTCTTTCACCTTGAAACAAACACCATTTTTTTTCTAAATATATTCTTTTTACTTCTTTTTATTGTTTAATAGTTGCAGCAAATGACAAAAAGGATGGATTCCGAGCCTATTTTAATTGCTTTGATTTTTAAAGTTACTTAATGTTAATTGCTGATGTGCTTTAGGTTTCCATGGCTGGTATATATATATATATTATATTTTCTTTAAAGCCAGTCATGGATACTGTAAACAACATGAGGTTCAAAACACAAAATGGCAAATTTGAAGTGGCATCTTTTTCTAATAATCTGAATGTTGGAAATAAAAACAAGGACAGCCTTTTTCAGAGGGAAGCTTAAAAATATAAAAACAACAGCTTAAACTAACAATCAAGAGAAAAGATAAATAAGAAAATAGGGATGGAAATGCAAAAAGGTATAAAGAGACAGAAAGTAAACAAAGATGTATACAATGAATCCCTAGTGTTGCGTAACAGAGTGAGCTCCCGTTACTTGTCCCAGCTTCTGTCAACCTAGCAGTTCGAAAGCATGTAAAAATGCAAGTAGAAAAATAAGAATTACCTTTGATGGGAAGGTAACAGCGTTCCATGCGCCTTAGGCGTTTTGTCATGCCAGCCACATGACCACGGAGACGTCTTTGGATAGGGCTGCCTCTTCGGCTTTGAAACGGAAATGAGCACTGCCTCCTAGAGTCGGGAACGACTAGCACATATGTGCGAGCTTTACCTTTACCTTATACAACGAATGACTTCCAACTTCTGCAAAGGATATGAGGAATGCTTACATTTGATTCTTAGTCAACCTATTTTCATGGCCACAGTATAATATTAAACTGTTATATAATGGCTGCAAAATAGCATTCTTGGAAGCAGTAAATAGTAAATATCCAATTAAGAGATAAGTAAACAAGATTAGCCTAGTCTTCATTAAAATAAATAGAATCTAATGCTTTGATGTATTATTGAGGAGAAAGAATTAATTCACGTATTACTCTATCCTTTGAGACATCACACATTCATATCACAGTAGGTTGCAGAAAAATAACAGTAATTCTATGAGGAAGAAGATAATATTTCAAACTATTTAATTTCTATAGTTCACCAATTAAAGTATATTTCTGACATGCCGGATATTATTATTAGATTGCAGTGCCTTACTTTTTAAACTTTTTTTGCATGCCTTCAAGGAAGTAACACATGATACTAACTGAGCCAGATGAAATGCTGGAGAAGAACAGAGTGAACCCTGTCCTGCCATTTATCTAGTCTGGCAGTATCAGATATGAGTGCAGTTGCTTCAATTTTATGTCCAATTCCATAATAAGCAGTAATTCTTACATCAAGTTTCCTGCTTTTCCTGCTTTTCCTGCTTTTTGTTCAGTTTGCATTTGATATTATAGTATTTATGCTGTACGTATGTTTCAATATCTTTTGTCTTCCTTCCCGTGTTATGAACATAAATAATCCATGCAAATGCTTGCTAATCATAAAATATTTCACACATATGCTTTTCATCTCCATATTTAATGACTTAGCATCATTATCTTTATGCATATGTATTCAAAACTGTTTCTGCAAGAGAAATTGTGATACTAAGAATCATAAACCCAGAGAATTTATAAACGTTTGACAATTATCAATGTACTAATCCATCTGTTTCTTCCAATCTGCTTTTATGATGTATTGCAGTAATTCTATTAGATAGTTTCTGCATTGTTAGTCTTTTACTATGTATTTGCTGTTATTTGAAGCAACATATACATTTTCTATATGGAAGAGAAATGAAGGTTGTTTAATGTAAAGTTTATGGAAATAAAAAGCAATTTCTACTCTTAAACTGATCATATTATTATGCATAGGGTAATTAGTTATCAGATGTTTTATGTGCATAAATATTGCAGATGTTTAAATTAGGAATGGAAAGACTTTCACAGAAAAAATCCAGATGTCCTATTTTATCAGACTTGGGGCAAATGTTTTGGTCCCTACTCTGATTTATTTTGGAAGCATGTCTCATATCTATCCAATATGTAAAAAAGGGCCATTATACAAACCAAAAAGCAGCAAATTGCTTTAAAAACATTACTTTAACAACATATATTAAAGGAAATTCCAGTATGTGAGTGCTAGTATGCTTTGATCTGTAAAAATTTTAACTTGAAAATATGCAGATTTTTAAAAATCTGGTCCTTTCTTATGTAACCTTTCTAGAAGTCCTGGTTTAGTTTAGTTTTTTCAATAATTTCACTTGTGTCAGAGCACTGAAAGCTATTGTGTTTTAATAATACAGGTTTCTAAACCTTCAGAAAATAGCATTTGATATATATTGTACTACTCTCTTATCTTTCCAAGCTTATAATGGCAAGAACAGGAAAAAAATATAATTTTGTTTCAAGTTGCATCTGGGTGGAATCTTGATGATGCAGTTCTGCAAAACATCTTTTCTACTGTTTATCCATAAGTAAAACAATTCATGTATAAGTAGTGAAACCTTTCAAATTATCTTCATTTTATTGCTTAAAGGCAATAAAATTATATGTGGATGAATCAGATTCATCATGTGTTCATATATAATGGAAACAATGCTTATGTAAACAGCATTTATATTTCTATAAAGTACTGATTATTTATCCAAATGTCAAATATATCAAACTAATAAATGCAGTTTAGATATGTTGTAGAGAATAATATATCAGTTTAAACTAATTTGATATTTAAATCTGTATTAGATATAAATGAATAAATCATTGTTTGTGAAGTTGCATTCTAGGGATCAGTTGGGATTGTAGTTACTGTACTAGCCCTCCTATCTGAGCTGTGCAATTGCTTCCCGTGGCAAAGCTTGTAGTAGTGCAGTTTCCTAGACTCAAGCACTCCCCCACATGGAATCTGAAATGGCTCAAAAGTGACTCAAAGGTTCATGGCCACCATGAGCTTAACCTAGATTATCAAGGACCCAAGATATACTGTTGGTCACATGCTGGAGCTGGCTTTTTTTGTGCTCAGAACACTCTTGGGGACCTTATGGATCACCACTCCTGCCCTCTGGAATAGCATTACTACTGAGATCCATTTAGCCCTGACCCTGCTGTCCTTCAGGAACACATTAAAAGCTTGACTTTTCCAGAAGGCCCTGAATCAAGGCAATTGATGAACTGCTTGAATGACTTCTATTTAAATATTGTGTATTCTCCAATTGTTGACATTGTATTTGATCTTGTGTTGTTTTGTTTTGTTTAAAGATGCTTTTAATCTATTGTACATTTTCTTGAATCATTTCAGATAGCAGTATGTATATGATTGTGTATGTGTGTATACTTTATATACTGTATCTAATACACACAAACACACACATATATACACACACATATATACACGCACATAAATATATAAATGTCATGAATAAAATGTGTTAGTATTTAGCATGTGTATGTATGTATTTGTATACTGTGTGTGTGTGTACATATATCTACACAAACACATTCATGCAAATACACAGTGTGTGCACATATACATAGAATATATGTATAAATGTTTTATTAATGTGCACAAGGAAGGTTTTGAAGTATGGATTTTCCCCACAGATTTTTTGCAAAATATTCTTTTTTCTTCTTTATGTTGGTGAAAAATTATATGTTAATTTTCTGAAAAGATATAATAAATACACTATTCTTAATATTACATATACAACCTGCTCAATTTTTTAAAAAAAATCTTAATAAATATATTTAAGCAGAATATGCACTATTTCTAATGGTAGACCTGATCATTGAATTTTCTAAATGTATGAAGTTAAGGATCAGGTATTTGAAATATATGGGTAGTATCTAACTCTGATCAGCATTCCTATACATATCATTTTGCAATAATCCAAACAGGAGGTGACTAGAGCATTTGTGACCTTCAGCAGAACTCCTCCCAACCCAGGAATACAGGGTGCAATTGATACACAATGTGAAGTTATGTAAAGACACCTGTGGCCATAGCTATCCGCTGCACTTTAAGCAGAATTAGCCAATCCTAGAGAAACCCTCTGATTGTGCATTGAATCTGACTGTAATCCTGTGATTCATGATTCATGAATCGTGATTCATATCTATCCAATTTCAGGATTCATGGAGCCTAAGATCCACAGCAGGGGTGGGTTCCTGCCAGTTCTAACCTCTTCTATACAGGGCGGGGCATAACCTTTTCCTAGGGGGTCACAGCAAGATCGACAGCAGTTTACAACTTCCGCGACACCTCATTTTAAAGCCCATAAAAAACTGAATTGAATGAGCTATTAAATGTTAAATTTGCTTTAAGAATGGCTGGAAAATTCGATTCGGAAATGCAAATGCGACTCAGCAATTGTTAAAGGAAAACAATGTCGAATTTTGGGGCAATGACGTCTGGCTGGGAAATTCGCCAGATCTCAATCCGGCAGAGAACATTGGGGCCATAATTAAGGATGAAGTGGAAGCTCTGATGATTCAGGAGCAAGGTCAAAATCGATATTCGGTTGAAACTTTGAGAATGAATTTGGAAACTGTGTTGAAAAATCTGGAAAATCGAACGGAACTGTTTGAAGATTTGTTGTGTTCTTATCCACCTCGTTTGAATGCTGTTCGAAGGGCTAATGGTGGTCATACTGACTATTAAATCGTGTCAATAAACTCAGTTTTTGATGGGCTTTCGAATGGTGTATGAATTATTTGTGTTGTTATTACAAGTGTTGCTGTGACCCCCTAGGAAAAGGTTATGCCCCGCCCTGTAGAAGAGGTTCCACAAATCTACAGTGCTGTTTAGAACCTGTTCCAGCTGTCTCCCTCTGCCCATCTGACATCATCAAGATGAAGAGCGAGAGGAGGAATTCTGAGAGTTGAAGTCCACAAATCTTAAAGCTGTCAAGATTGAACACCCCTGGGGTTTTTTTTCTAAAGGGTTAGGGGTGCAAGGGTCTTGTAACTTGACAGCTTTAAGACTTGCACACTTCAAATGCCAGAGTTTCTGAGCCAACATTTTGGTTGCTAAGCAAGAGCGTTAAGTGAGTTTCACCACATTTTACAAGTTGGCCATGCCCACCCAATCACATGGCTGGCAAGCCACTTCCACCCGGTCACATGGCCGGCAAGCCACTCCCACAAAGCAGGCCACACCTACAGAAGAGCTAAAAATATTTGAAACCCACCACTGATCCACAGCTACTCAGTCTTGGTGGGGTTAAGCTAAAACCTTGCTTTCTGCATCTCTTCAAAGGCTAGGGTTTTTTTATAGTCCTTCAGAAGTACACTAAGGTGGAAGAAGACCCAGTATCTAAGGACAAGCTGTTTTACAGAACCCCCCCCCCCCATTAGAAAGGCCAAAGTTCTACTGTGGTACATTGGATAATATGGTAACTGCATCTAAATGAACAAGCACAAATCTTTTGGCATTGATATAAAGCACTAAGCAGGAGAGTTGGGGGAAATGTTGAATTTTATGTAAGATGCTAAATTTATTCAGCCACTGACAATAAGCTCTACCACATAGCCATTTCTTTCCAACACAGGTAGTCTTTGACTTACCCTGAAATGCTTAACATCATCAAAATCACCTGACTTTGCAGCTGCACCTTGTGTTTGATTAGCCTCAAGTGACTCTTGACTTTTTGTCTCCTGAGGATGACATTCCAGATTCTACTGGAGCTTCTTCCTTGACATCTGAGTCATAGCATCAAGGCATGTTCTGCTTGCAACAAAGGACAAAATAGATTCTTTTGCTCCATTTCATCTACCAAGGCCAATCATACTGGCTGAAACAGAGATAGCATCTACCACCATTGGTTAGGGCAGACACTATCTGAAGTGTTTCAAGAAAAACCATGTAGTACATTCACCTCTCTCATCTACTCCACCGACAGTTTTCTCAATTGGCTGCATCTTCCAGTCTTGAAATACTGCACTGCAGCAGCGATTATGACAGCATGCATAACCTAAGTGAAGAGTAATTTGTAGAAACGTAGTGCTAGAGCACCTGGCTTAGCCTGGCTTTTCCTCTGCGCTTTCTTCTTTCTTTAGTAATCCGTATTTATGATGCATTAAATGAAGAGGACCAGAATAATATATGCCTCCTGAGGGAGATCTCAGGAGGAATGACTGGATGCAAATGCCAGTGTCTCTGCTACTGACCCATCCCTGCTACCGTCCCATCTCCAGTAGCTGTTGGCCGAGAAGGCAAATTCACATTGCACAGTAGTACAATAGGCCTAAATTGGATGCAGAATAAAAAGTGAAAAGTGCAAGAGGAGTTACTGTTGATTGGCTTTCCCAAACAAGGTCTTTCAATTTGGATAGATGTGAAAAAATAGAATCAGTACATAAAGTGGAAGGGTGCTATGTCTCAAGCTAAAATCTAAAACCTCTCAATTGCAATTAGAACCGAAGGGCAGATTAGATTATTCTAATATACAGTATTGTTTATAAATATATAAATTAACAATGTGTTTGAATTATTACTTGTCCTTAAGTCATTTAGTGTCCTGGTATAACAGTGTAAATTTGGAAAGAAATGTTTAAAATGGCAAATATCACTCCCTTATCTGCCTCTGTTTTTGAAACCATTTCCTCTCTGCTTTAAGAAGTTCTAAGGAAAACCACATTCAGTTTATTTTCAACAGTAGATGATGTAAAGATATCAGGCAGAAATAGAACAATTAAAATAGCAAAAGTGAAAGAAAGAAAAATCCCAACTACTGATCTTCATTTCCCCAAAAGTTTTACTTTTTACTGTTAATGTAATGCTGTAATGGTGTCATCCAGTGTATTTGAATCTTTTTAATTATTTTTAATTTAATATTTAAAAGGAGCAAAACAGGAAAACACAAAAGAGGAGGAAATCATAGCAAAAGGAAAGAAAAAGACAAACAAAAGCCCCAAATATGTATGTTTTATATTGTCAGATTTTAAAGAAAGCAAGTAAAAATTTAGTCTTTTGTTAAGACTAAATCCAGTGTGATGTTACTTTTTCATAGTACAAAACTGCTAGTCCCCAATTTAGCTACATTTGCTGAAATCTCCAATATTGTAAATATAAAAATAAATCTTAAATTAATCTCACACTCAGTTATAAATGATAACTGAGAAGTTATCACTCTTTATTCTAAAGTACCAGCAAATAATGTTCATTAACAATATTCATTAACTATCTTTTAAATACTATTGATTAGAATAATCCACTTAGAATAAGTGATTCAGAGGTTTTATACACAGCTAATGCATTGGGGGGGGGGTATATTTTTTTTTAAAATGTTTAATTGGTTATATTACATTTCTGCAATTTTCAAAAATCCAATTTATTGCAATAATTTAGTTTTAAAACAATTGAAAAATATGAAGTACTAATGCTTTTAAAAAACATTTACCAAATGTAGGTTTAAGTGATGAACATTATACTTTCATCCTTACTTTTCCAAATACATATTTAAGGCTAGAAATACTAAAGAACTGTGAGTAAATAGAAACCAAGCTTTAATCATCATATTTGAAAAGGTCAAGAATAATTTGCTAATTTTGTAGTTTAAAAAAACACCTAAAAACAATTAACCATTAATTATGACCACAATGGTTTTTTAAATATAATATCTTGGTTTCCATAGAGAAACAGAAAGCAAAATGTAATCTCAATAATAATAATTCAATCCATTGGAGAACATACATGATACATATTCTTATGGCAATATTCAGTTTTATAATAACTTATTTAATCAACAGATGGACGGGAACACACACACAAACACACACCAAGATGGAGAACAAAGCCAATTTTAAGACATGCAGATATTGTATATGAGAATAAATAGAAAAGCTATCTGGATTACTTTGGGTCAGTCTCTCTCAATTTTGCCCTACCTCATAAGGTTGTTGTAAGCAAAATAGGAGACAGGAGTATTAGGAATACAGCACAACTGCAATAATTAAATAATCTGATTCATTTACAAAAGTGTTATATTATAGCAATAGATCTTGATATATTAATAGCAGTAATAGCAGTAGACTTATATACCGCTTCATAGGCCTTTCAGGCCTCTCTAAGCGGTTTACAGAGAGTCAGCATATTGCCCCCAACAATCTGGGTCCTCATTTTACCCACCTCGGAAGGATGGAAGGCTGAGTCAACCCTGAGCCGGTGAGATTTGAACCGCTGAACTGCTGATCTAGCAGTAGCCTGCAGTGCTGCATTTAACCACTGCGTCACCTTGGCTCATGTATATTAAATCTTATACATGTTCAGCATATC